AGTAAGCATGTTGATCAACAATTTGCACCTCTATCATGTGCAGCCATTGGAATTGTATCATTCGATTTGGTGCTATTTTTCGCTGCTTTTGTCGCCCACTGAATTTGTCGGTTCGTCTTTCGACTTGTATATTTTTCTCTTCTTATTTAGATGATGGTTTTTGTTTTGAAAGCGGTCTTTTTAAATGGTTTCTGTCACAAGTGTTGGCCATGTCACAGCGGCAACCAAGGCAAAACGGCGCAGCAGCAGCTGTTAAAGTGACATGTTGATGCGAGAGGACGCGTGGGCGCGCGCGCGCACAAGTGTACCAAATGTTCGTTGCCATTATTTCATATTTTTGCACTGTTTGATTGTATGCGACAGTTATCATAATGTGTTGCTGACATCAACTTCGACGTAGTCTCCTTCTTTTTCTTCTTCTTCTTCTTCTTCTTCATGTGCGCCATTGAGTACATTATTTTTGATTGTCGCCGTATAACAATAACATTTGAAATTCCTTGACGGGCGCGTGTGTATGCGCACATAAATGCTCACAGAGAGCTCACTGTCAACAACATGCATTTGCTTGCTGCTTGATAATAATCGAAATACAGATTGCAAATTTTCGGGATTGTGTGATTCTTTTCTTTCGTTTCACCATCAATTCGGCGTAGATTTGGTGTGAGTGGCCCCGAAATTGGGATCACGGTTTGATCAGCAACAATGACAAAAAAACACGTACAAAGCAAATTGAAAACAGTTGGAATGTCGAGACGCTTGTCGAATCAAATGAGAAAGGGAACGACAGCACCAAGAACAAAAAATGCGAGATCCGTATTCATTGTGGTAAGGAAAAAAGTTGTCAAATTCCTTTTCTCGGAAGTGTCAAAATTCACGCAAATACAAAGGGCCGCTTTTCGCTTTTTCCCTCACCATATATCTCGCACTGAATGTGTACGGAATCTTCCAAACTGAAATTCTAATCAAATTATATTTTGGCAAGATGGATAGAGGACGATAGAGATGCGGAGCGATTCGCGAGAAAACGAAAGAAAAGTGATGGTGTTTACGATTCCAAGAATATTTTCATAGTGCTGACATGAACGTGATAGTTTTTTTTTTCTCTTCGGTGTCAAAGGACGGATTGATGGACAAAATACAACTATCGAATTCAAAATGAGGAAGGACTCGCTTTTTTTACGTACGAAAGGATCAAAATAGCATGTCATGCACATAGCAGCATCGTTCGGGCTTGGGACTTGGGCTAATAGAGTGCGATTAGGTTTTGTTGTTCATTGTTTTCTTTTGCTTGCGCCAATTGTAATAAGTCGCCGAAATGTGTGGGTTTGAGGTAATAATATCAAATCTGTAATGGCACACACGCATCCGAAACGTATACGCACCAGCAGCAGCAGTAAAAATGGTGGTGTACGTTTTTACGTGTAAGCAGATGTGTTTTGAGGGGTGTATATTTATATACTTTTATATGTGTAACATTATTGGTCGTGTTACATTTCCCTAAACCGATTGAATCTGTTCGCCAATTTTTCCAACGTTCATATTTTGTTCCCTTCATTTTTCCGTTTTTGTTTTTATGAGGCATTCCTTTTTTTCACTCACTCGCTCCCTCGTTCTTTCTCACACTTACATACACTTCGGGCACTAAGATCCACTCAAAATCCTGTATTCCATTTCAACAACACACTTGCTAGCATGTGTGTCACCTTTAGGATGCCATTCAATACGCTTGAAATTGATTCATTTTCGCCATTGCGTTTTGTCAACAGCCAATCAGCCCTACAATCGACAAGTAAACATCGCTCCGATATGGCGTACACCGATTGTGAGCCCGTTCTTGCTGGCATACGTGTCGAACGAAGGGCAACAATGGCAATTGTGAAAGAAAAAAATTCAACCGGCATGTACATCTCAATGTGTTTTACTTGAAGAGCGAACAGCTGTGACCGATAAACAGCGATTGTGCACCATGGATTGCTATAAAAACAAATAAATTGGCACAAGAAAAACTAATTTAATGAAATAATTAGATTTGCACCTCATTTGTACGCAAATTAGAAAATACATAAATTTATGACGGATTTGCGCCAATTCAATTCTTGGTCGGATGCTTCGTCTCTGTCGCTCTACCTCTTGCGTATTGCGACAATGTGTGTTTGTTGTCTAGAGAAAATTGCCAACATTTCTTTCGGACGGATTCCCCCCCCCCCCTCCTCTCTCTCTCTCGTTGCAAACGCCCAAATTCAAATTCTCTGTCTGTCGAGCCAATTTTCGATTATTTTATTCTCGCCACCACACTAATCCCGTTCCAGCGCATTTGAAGCGCATCGCTCTTCTTCACTTTTCGCTTGCCATATTTTCTTCGCGAACTCAACTGAATATTTTCATAAGAAAATGTATGGAAATTGCCACAAAAGAAAGCAGCATTAAAATGTGATTCGTAAGGTGTGGCGGCGTTGCCAAATCACTCTCGTCGCTTTCTTCTTTTTCGCTTATGCTATTCTTTTTCTTCTTCTTTTTTGCCTTTCTTTCATTTTTCCTTCACTCTTGCTCATCAGAAAACAAATTTCGCTATGCCATTATTGTGGGGTGTTTTGTGCACGCATAAGCAATTTCGCTAATTCAGCATGTTTGTATTAGACGCTCGAATTGATCTGTTTCGTTTCACTCACCTTGCCATGGCATCAACTCGATACGCATGTACATGTTTGATTCTGTTTCAGTCATTCGCCTCTTTTTTTTCCCTTTGCTTTCATTTTTGTCATTACTCACATTAAGCAGTTGGCAATCATTTTTATGTCGGCGGTTTGGTTAAATGAATACTGTCGAACGCTTCAAGCGATAATACTCCACTCGAGATGTCTGTTGAAACGAAAATGATTCTTTCTGTTCGACTCCTTTCGCTTTAAGGAGGATTTTTTTTCGGGTTTGCCATGCCATCAAAATCACATTTGACTAATTTTTCAGAGTACAAGTCTGCTTTCATCACTGCGACAATAAATTGAATTTTAAAGCGTAGAAAAAAATATTCGGCTGTTATAACAAAAGAAGATCATGCAATATTTTCTGCATAAAAAAAGTGTTTTTTCAACAACAACAAAATGATACCGTCACATATTTCCACGAAATTAATATACTTAATTGAGTGACATTGCGTGCATAAGACTTGCGACTTGAACCATTTGAAAAAGAACCTCACACGATCGGATGCATCGCATATTTCCTACAGCATCCATACAATTCCATGTAAATGTAATGTATTTTTCTTATTTATCTCGGTTTTTATTTCATTCGTCCTGCTTTTGATTTACGTAATTAGAGCATTTTTAGCAGATTTAATAAAAAATTCCGTTTAAAAGGGTGATTTTTTGCTCATTGATGTGAAAATGCATATTCTGGGCTGGAAAGCGATTTTATGTGTGTGAATATATATATATATATATATATGTGTGTGTGTGTTTGTAGCCATAGGCGAGCACTGAACATGCAGATGGAATTTTAATCACTTCTTTTTTTTGTGAACGCAAACATACACTTCCATAAAAACTGCTTTATTCAATTGTTTTTAAGCATTTTTAGGATGCAACAGCAGCGATAAAAAAAGAGTTGTGAATGAATGTAATAGTTTTCAACTCGTGTCCACAAATATGTCAGTTTCATTAACTCCAAAACGAAATGGAGAAAGAGGGAGCGAAAGTAAGAGAGCGGAATGTGGAAAAAAAGCGCATACACAAACTATCGGGAGAAAGGTGAATTTTTCAATGGTAAAACTTTCTCTATACCTTTTTTTTCGTATGAAAATTTCAAAATAATAATGCTTGAGTCTCTTTGACTGAGAGAGACTGTTGAAAACCAGTGGCTGGTGGTAATAGTTTCAACGTTTTATGCATCGCCCGGGAAGTATTCGCATTCAGTAATCGCAAACCGCTTCACCATCAGAGAAAAATACTGAATCTACATGAATATAGGAGCAACAAGAGCAGCAAACAAAAAAATTACCCATTTCCCTTGTTTGTCTTGCTTTAGTATATGTATTCCTCTTCCTCTCTCGCTTTCTGGCTCTTTCGCGCCCTCTCTCTTTCATTTTCTCCGTCTCTTGTCACTGTTGCCTTGATCACGGTGCATTTTAGCTAGGGGGTAGGAACACAAGCGCTTGAGATGAATTCGTACGAATATTCGTGAATTCTTGTGATTGTGTATACGAGACATTCGCAGCGCAGTGAGTGTATAACAACAATAACAAAGCCACGAACGCATGAATATATGCGAATACATACGAATGACACAACTTGTTCCTAGCCCCTAGCATTTTAGTTTTTGATGCGAACCGACATCATCTCCAGTGAATGTGTGCACTCTGTCATTAAAGCAGTAGACAAGTATACGTGCATCATGCATTGCTTGCAGGAAGCACATTCACACGTCCGTCGAGTAAAAACTTCATGCATATGACATTTTCGTGTATCGTTCAATTCACTTTCTCGGCGTTGCTACACGATTAGACGCGAAACGCCGTATTTTATCGTGTATCTCTATGTAACGTCGTCGTTTTGTTTCAACTCATCACTTCATTCTGCATTTTCATTTTCTTCGTTTCGTTCCCTTTTCCTCTCTTTCACTCGTTACTCGCTCGCTCTTGTTTCTCATTTCTCGTTGCGCTTTTCCTTCAATATTCGTTCCCAATCCGCGTGTTTGTTTTCTTTTCGGAAAAATATTGGTTGATGTTGTTTTATTCGTTTAGTTGTTTGTTTATTTCGTCGTTTCGGTTAAATGGAATTGAGAGCATTCGTGAGATACACGAGAAAGGAATGCTCTCATTTTCTCAACTCTATTCGACAAGTGAGCTTGCAAGCTAACATATCAAAGACGCTCACTTTTCGCTGAATCAGAGCCATCGATAAGAAACGGAAAGAAATAGCAAAGGCGGCGGCAGTAGCAGCACCAACTGAAGAAATATCCGAAGTAGGAGGATAGATGCAAAAATCACTGATTTGCATACTTACCGACAACTTGCAATAGTGTTTGCGCTGTACGTGTTGAAAACGATGGTGCATCAGCTGTCACTTCACATGAAAAATTACCAGATAGTCCAAATCCAACGTTACGCATAACCACTTGGCTTGCGTTTGACATCGATAACTGGAAAGATAAACAAATGAACAAAATAAAGATGAACGACAACTGAATTATTTATCCAATGGCAAGGAGTACCAAGAGGGAGAGCGAGAAAGTGGAAAAAAGAGAGAAACGAAAAATAAAATAAACTGAGAGAAATAAGACAATAGTTCGAGAGAATAAATGGAAACCATAAACAGTTTATGTGAGCGTGATGGAGATGGAAACTGAAATGCTTGCGCTCGATGTGCACAGACGTACACACTCGGAGAATCCTTCTATTTGTGTGAACGGGAACGGTTATGGAACATTTTGAGTGTGGCTTTAAAATTGCAGTATGGGAAATATTCGGTGACAAACAACCGTTCGAAATGATGGATAGCGTAGCATCTCGAATGACTCTGATACGACCGATTGAAGTAAAAAAAAAACACAATAAAACTGAGGGAGACGAAAGAGCAGTGGAGAAGTATATGAAAAAGAAACCAAATACGGAAAATTAAATGAAAAGCACGGAAAACCAAACAGAAAGCAAACAAACAAAATGACTGACAAAACCGAACAGTTCACAAGAATGCGAACGAGAACCAAAGACAAAAAAAGCAAAGTAAACAATTCCGAAAAAAAGGAGGCCAAAGATCCATGCATGGGATGAGCTTAGTACAGAGTTACATGCCGGAATGGTGGCTATCATGGATATGGTACGAATATGACGAACATCGTACATATTTCATGCGATTGAAGGTAGAATTCATTTTCAAGAGCCCACTCTCGAATGAAGAAGATAAAAAATCAACACAGATATGTTGCAACTGTGGCCAAATTTTCGACAATTTGAGTAAAAGATTTTAGTTTGATGAGCGCATAAGAAATAAAACGTCAAAGTTTTAAGTGAACAGAAAAATATTTGAATACTTACGTCAACGTTGAAACCAACAAATTGGAATACTTTACTCGTTGGCAATTCGCTGGGTGAATAGCGGTAGAATTCATGAACTCCACGGTAAAACTTTACGGAATACAATGGTGCACCGTCCAAATCATAAGTGCATACGAATGTTGCATGCTGGCCGCGACGAACGGACGGTGGATCCACCTGAAGACTTACATTACGTATCGTCGCCGATGACAAGCCTGAAAGATAAAAACGAATATAAATCATGTTAATATACACATCTTTCTTTTCGCTATGTGCACAATTATGCGGTTTAATGATGATTCAATTCACAATTCAAAAATGCAAACGAAAATATTTGGTTTTGTGGTTTGATTAAATTATTTGGATTGTTTGGTAGGCAAATAAACGCGGCGTTGAATGAAAAAAGCGGAAAAATTGCGGAGGGAGAGTTGGTTCGCCAAAATAATAAATGGTCAAATTAAATCCCAAAGTGAAACATTTTGGTACAAACCAAGCGCAAAAAAAAAAATAAATGTGACAATTCGTAGCCAAATTGTCCATTACATAATATCCCAAATGCAAAGGGATCATTAACAAAATCAACAAAATTATAATTATTTGGCAAAGTTGATATCAATGGAACGTTTCAACAAGCGGACGCGCTAAATTATGGCTTCGTTGTTGCAATATTTTGAGTTAAATTTTGTGTGGGCTAGTTTTTTGTCACCCGTCCAGGTGTTGGCGCTCAATCTGTCACCCACTTTTGGGTTACTGTACCGATTGCGAACCGGCAAACCCAATCTCCGCTTCAAAAACAAAAGGAAATAAATTGCCGCACATTCCTTGGAAGCTGCAGCTGTCATTTTTTAAGTGAGTTTTGGTTATTGCTTCGTCCTGCCGGTTCAATAATTACATTTTCATTGTGTTGATGACAGGATAAGCTGTTTAATTATTTATTTTCGGTAAATATGTGTGCTTTACTAAAGGGAATAATGGGCAAATAAATTGCACGTATGCTGTGGGAGAAACGAAAACATGATCGAATTTGACTCATCACAGTATTCAGACGGCCCCAAAACAGCGGAATGAGCGGGATATATCAATGGGGGGGGGGGTGTTCGATAAACGTTCGTTAAGTACACAACGCGTACATCGAATGAAAATTGACAAAAAGAGAGAAGGCGAGCGAGAGACAGAGAGAAAGTCCATTTTTACGTCACTCTCACATAAGCACGTTCCATTATTTTGTATTGCATATTCCCATATAGAATAAAAATGGCAGCAATTACTTTAATTGTGTGCTAAATTTGTTAATAGACCAATGCATCGTTGTTGTTGATGGTGTTTTCATTTTTTTTTTGCGCTCACTCACTCTCCCTCTCTCTCTTTCTCTCCTTTCTCATTTTGTTTTATTTTTCAATTCGCATTTTCAATCAAAAAATTGTTTTCGCTGCGGATAAAATGAATTGCACACAAATGATAAAAACAGTAAAATGCAACGCGAATGCGGCGAGAATGAGACAGTAGAGAAAAGCTCACAATAACATAACCATTGAGTCAGATGGAGGTTTGATCATATGGATAGAGAGAGAGAGAGAAGTGGATAAAAACAGAGCGCCACATATACACCCTCTACACCAAATTGCAATTTACATATAATTATTTGTACAGTTTTTTTCCCTCGTCTTTGTTCTATTAAATAACCGATAATAACTTTATTCCCGCATACAATTTACACAATTACTACAGATTATAAATTAACAATTTTCATGCGTGAAATATTTTCAACTGATCACAAAGAATGAAATAGTACAAAACCGTTTTATTTTGCTACTGAAAAAAATATATGCTGCTAATCGTAGCATGTTGACAATTATCGCTTCAAACCGCCATTTTTTTTTCTCGCCATATATTCACTTTTCATCAATTTGGCTCAAAAGTTTGGTCGAACTTTGAATGATTAACCTAAAAAAGCTTATCACACATACATACACACACAAAACGTCCAATGGCTTTAAGTAAAATCTGTTTGAATCATGGTGCTCAAAAGGTAAGCAATGCAGACATTTGAGGCAAAATTCACGTTTTTCCAACGAAAACCTATTATCAAACTGAATGAATATGATTTATTTCTGTCGAATCTGAAGTTGCTAGATTGTGTACATCGAAACCAATTTTCTTGGGCAAAAAGTAATATTTTTCAATTCGCTACTGTCGACTGCAACAAATACCAACAACTCAGTCGTTTTTTGTGAATGCCGTCGAAAATTTTTTCCTCGTTACAAAGCAATGTGGCAGGCCACTGTGTTTGGCAGTTTGAATGAATTGAAAATTCGGTAAACTTTGCAATTAGCATGTGAATGTGAATGAACTTGGGATAAATGTGAAACGTCTGGGCAATCAAAATCGTTTTGGATGAAGTCGATTTGGTTTTTGTAACGTATCGATCTTGGGGAAAAAAAGACAGTGGCCAGACACACGAAATAAAGTGCACAAAAAAGTGATGAGTGATGGAAGAACATGCGAACGAGCCAGCAAACGATTGTGAGAGGTAGAGAGAGAGAGAGAGAGAGAGAAAGAGAGCAACAAGGAACAAACGAGAGTGAATGAGAAAGAGAAGAACAATTTTTCGTTTGTTAATCAAAGTACGTTCGTTCCCAGAAATAGATTGCATGACGCTTAACCGAAAAATGTTCGTCCATTTGCAGTGTCAAAGTTCAGAATGAAGTACATCAACCGTTCGGAGTGCTCATGTTAATTTAAATTTCAATTTCAATAACGCTTTTTGAAAATTCCATTGGGGTCGGCCACACACTGCACAGGCGACTCACTTCGGTTGAAATATGTTGCTGCTGCTGCCGTCGCTGCCAACCAAGTCGAAACATCATTTTCCTTTTTCATAATTATAATACAATTTAGGTTGGCTGTCTTAACTGGCGCGATAATGGGCGAATGTGTCAGCAAACAATTCGCATTTTCGTGGTATGCATTGTAAATCATGGGGCCGCCATGTGCGATTGATTGCATTTCGGTTTTTTTTGGCTGTGCCATATCAAGTGGGGATCAAGTAAAATATGCACATTAGACATTATTTACGTAACACACTCATATTCATATGGTCGACATTACAATCTTTAATATCTATATTGCGCACACAAAATGGAGTGTTTTCGGTTTTTGGGGCCTTTATGCATAGCAGCGACGCTTGGTTACTTGCTCGTGTATCGGTTGCTCCATTAAAACAGAAACCTTTTGCTACAAGGCATGTATCGGGGTTTGACCGATTCCGCTTTTCGTCCTCTTCATTCAGCAAAATGTATATGAAGCGTACGAAAAAAAAAGGTTAGGCTTTCGTTTTATCATTTTGGCTACACACACATACATACACACACTTTGATAGATAGGCCAGATGTCAAACCTTTCTTAATAGAGCCAACAAAATGTCAAAATTTCTGATTTGATTTGGCGCTTGATGTCAAACCAAAATTCTTTGTGCAAACAAACCATGTTTTGCAATCAATGTTATTCATTCGATCCAACATATTCCATTGAGTTTATTATTCACTAGATATTCGAATGTTTTTAATCGACTTAATACCACCGTAGATTAGACTGTTGAAATATTTTTAGCACACATTTTCGGAGGTGAATTTTATTCAAAAACGCTACTCGATGCCATATAACCGGCAGTGTTTTTAAATTATCACACAAAATGCAAAGAATGTTTGATAGTGTAAAAACAACCCAGCTTGATCCTAAAATAACTATAGCAGAAGGGACACTATCAAAGTTTTGAAAAAAGAAACGAGAAAATGAATTCTCTCGATCTCTGCTCAACTGAACATCCACAAACTGGAATGGAGAGTACGAAAATAGCGTTCCGTGTATGGTCGAATGGAATATGGTACTTCATTTGAAGCTTATTTACATTGAACTGTGTGAAAGAAGCGTGACCAATTTATAGTCAATTAGTGCTTTGAGGTGTCAAATAGAATCCCCCAGTTAATATGCATCCATTCGATAGAAATGAAACTGGGATGCGTTTCCCACAAGTGGTTTCATTTTGTTTAGCTAAAACCACCATAGAGGAACATAGAAAGAGAGAGAGAGAGAGAGAGAGAGAGAGAGAGAGAGAGGCACCGACCGACCGATGCATATTGGTCAACTAAATGTAGAAACGTATGAGGTTGAGATAGAAATGGCGATTAACTGGACTTGTCGGAATGCGAGCATCTCTCATTATTATTCGAAAAAGAAACCGTTTTCATTATTTTTTGTTTTCTTTTGCGTTGTTTGTCTTTACAGTATTCTTTCATTGGACCCATATGCAAATAAACCTTTTAGCATGAACTTTTTTCTGCATCTGCTTTAAATTTTTTTTCATTTTTTTTTCTCACTCTCCCTCTATTGCTCGCCCGCTCTTCATAATCTGATAGGGAGGGAGAGTGAGAACCAAAACGGGAAAAAATGAAAATTACCTCATACTGGATGCGTGCTTTTAATCATTTTATTCCCCGACAGCGACACACACATCCAAAAAAGGAGTACAAAGCGAAACACTGTCCACACACAAGTTTTTTTCGCGTATTTTTTTTCTTCTGTTTTTGGGGCCATTTCTTTTTTATTTATCAAAGTAATTTCATATTTTATATTTCCTTTTGCGTTCATGTGCTTCCATATATATATATATATATATATATGTCCGTCTCTTTGTATTTTTATTTTTTCTTCGCTTTTTGTTGTTTATGTTGTTGTTGTTGTTGTTGTTGTTGTTGGTCGAGTGTGGCTCAGGGAAAATGCTGTCTTTTCTCTGTGTGTGCTTGTGCTCCTCTCTATCTGCGCTTAATTTCCATATTGCATGAATTGTAGGAATAATAACATTGAGTTATTTCTCTATTGCGATCCGCCCGCAATATGAAATGTAACGGTAATGATTATTTGAGTGGTGGTTCCTTTGTAACGATGAAATACTTTCTTCATTTGTTGTCGGCGCGCGGTCGTCACCTTCTTCGTTCTCATCACACTGCTATCATTTTACCGACGACGACGACGACGACAGCGACGACGACGTCAACAAACATAATCGAATTAACGCCCATTTTCTGGCATTTGAGTAGCTGTTGCCATTTTTTTTCCTCAGTCACTCGCTCTTTTTTCTTCGTTGAACACGCAATTTGATGAAAATATTAACTTCAATTTATCATTAAATGTGCTCATTTCGTTTTTCTCTCTCCCT